CACACTTTAAAACAAAACCTCTCGCTTGTAATCGTGTCCTGATAAGTGCTAGAGGATAACTGGCTAATTGACCACAAGTTGAACTGCACGTGCCACATGCCAATAGTGCTAATACACCTGGTTCTGCACTATCCTTGTGATTCCGAACATAGAAGTTCTTCAGTGTTTCATAAATAGCTAAGTCGATACCCGCATAAGGAATAATACCTAACAGATTTGGAACGTAACCCTGAAATATGAAAAGAAATAGGAGCACTTGAAACAAAGAGGTAGTTTCTGGAGTCTCCATCTTCCATGTTATCGAATACCATACTAGAGCATGCAAACAAAAAAAAACAAGTCAAAAAAAGTTTAGGTGAATATAGTGAACTCCACAAAGTGCACGGCCGAGACGGAATCGGAGGGTCGAGGAAGGGGTACACAATCAGGTGCGCGTTTAGGTTCTATCGCCGTTTGTTGCGCAAGTGGCGCATGAGGTAATCATCTTAAGTGCAAAACAGTGCCATCCTACACTTCGAATTACATTCTCGCGCGCGGATACTTGATTGAAGCTTGGAACGCGCCATTGGGGAACGAATAAAACCTGCTTGTAGAAAAAGTAAAATGAGAGTAAAATGAAGCGTAATGAGTTTTTTCACATGGAAACTAAAGGGATTGCAAAATGAGGCAATAAGGTGGTGGGTTGAAGAGGATTTCCTACTAAAAACGAGCAGAACCGTTGCAGCACCGATGTTGTATTCGAATATTAGCGCGGGGAAAACAATTCAAACGTCAGACCCTTACACAGTTGAACGAGCTGCGCCGCGCGCGACATGTGTGGCGTGATCTACATAGTTTCATCGACGATAGAATGGGATGTTGCCATGGAGTCAGATACGTAAATTGATGCTTAAGCAGCTGAGAACCTGCAAAAAAGCGATAAATGCGAGGCAAACACCGGCTTTTCCAGCATGTTACATTAGCTATCTAAGACCTTGCAACTAAATATATAATGGAACTGCCTGATTCTTAAAGACAAAGGTCACACTGCCCAGATATCCAAACTGCAGATTACTAATATCAAAGCGTCCGGTTCTAACTGTTCCTGAGGTACTTGAACAACACAAATCGACAACGAAGTGAGAATGAGTGCTGGTTGAAGAACGGCATAGCCACTTGTGAGGTAGACGAACTGGTGTAGAACTGTTTATTGTTACCGCAAGGGGGGTTTATATATTATTGTTATCATTGATTACTTCATCTTCTTCTCCTTATCCCTTCATTCGCCACTGCTTCATGATCGCAGCAGTCCATCACCTAAATCATCATTTCACCCCCCTACATCTCCCCCCAAGTGACGAAGTCACTTGTTACCTTATCCAGTACCATTCTGCACAACCACGCCCAACCTTTGCGCTTATCCAGGATTCAATACTTCACAACTCTTTATTGCTACCTGATCACAATCAAAATAAATCAGAAATTTAACACAGTTCATCTTTTATTCCACTGGGGGATCTTGCTCCTCCCTCCTTGCGCGTGGCTGAGCCGTCTCATCGAGCCTCGCCATAAGTTGGGCACACATCAGCCGTACCTCGCTGAGCTCTCTTCTCAACGCGGCATTGCGTCCCCGGCGCGGACGGCGAGTTCCCCTTCCTCGGTACACACCCACGCCACGAAATGGCGGGTTGGTTCCGCGAGCGGTTCTTCCTGCTGATACCGCTGGCACTCCCTGAACAGGCAGTTCCACACACTCTCTCTCGTGCTAACTCCAGACCAATTTCTGAACAATCACCTTCACTCACCTGTCCTTGCGCGGGACTTGTGACTTGAATCACAATCGGCGGACTCGGCAGCGGGGCCATTTGCGCCGATGGCGTACTCGGTGGCGGTGGTGGCGGTGGTGATGCGGGATAGGGCGGAGTAGTCGGCACGTACGTCCACATAACTGAAGCGTTTACATGCTTCCTCCTTACTCTAATGCCAACCACGTGGCTTGCCACGTCCACCACCTTTACACTGTTTCGAACAGGTTTCACCCTCTCTTCCATGTAAGTTCTCATCCGCACCGTGGGCTTACGTGTTCGACTAGACCGCCTTAACGGTAAGGCTTGCTCCTGCACGGGGATTCTCCTACTAGCCACAAATGCGTAGTTATCCTCTGGCGTTATCCTCTCTTTTAATTGGTCAGCGTGCGCCTTCCGGCTTCCTGTTCCGAAATGAACCTCGTACGTTCGCCTACCCACTACCTGCGTAATAATTCCTGGAATCCACTTATCTCCCTTTTGATAGTTACGGATATACACCTGTTGTCCCACTGCAAAATGCCTTTCTACTCTTCCCCTTCTATCGTAGTCAGCCACCATTCGCTCCCTGTAGCTAGGATTACTCAATGCTTTCTCTTTTGTCTTATATACATCCAATGTGGTCCTCAACTCTCTTCCCATCAAAATTTCGGCCGGCGATTTCCCTGTGGCTGGATGAGGAGTAACTCTATACTCGAAAAGTAATCCCGCTAATATATTTCCTGGTTTCTTACCATCACGCAATCCTTTATACCAACCCTTTTTAAAAGTTTGGACAAATCTTTCTACTTCTCCATTAGAGTTTGGGTGGTAAGGCGAGATTAATATGAGTTCAATATTCCTCCCCTTACAAAAT